ATATATATATATATAGAGAGAGAGAGAGAGAGATAAAAAAATAAGCAAAAATGAATAATTACAATTTTTAAACAGTGCAAAAGGACATACAATAAATAAAGAAAATAATACTATATACATGTGTATATATATACAAGGTGGAAAGTGACTGGTTAGATTGTTTACTGAGTCTATTGTTTCAGGTTCAGTGGGCGGACAGCCTGAGAGACGAAGCTCCTCCTCATCCTCTCTGTGTTTGCCTTCAGGCAGCGGTAACGCAGCCCTGTTGGCAGCAGAGAGAACAGGCTGTGGCTGGGGTGGGTGGGCTCACTCATAATCTTCCTGGCCTATAACCTGCATCGTTTGTGGTAAATGTCCTGCAGGCTGGGGAGGGTGGTTCTGATGGTGCGCTCAGCCGAGTGGACCACCCTCCTCAGGGCCAAGAAGTCCTGCTGGGTGCTGCTGCCCTTCCAGGTGGTGATACTCCCAGCCAAAACATTCTTAATGGTGCAGGTGTAGAAGTTCCTGAGCACCATGAGAGGGAGCCTAAAGTCCTTCAGGCGTCTGAGGTGGTAGAGACGCTGTCAAGTTTTCTTCACCAGGGTGTTGATGTGACAGGACCACGTCAGGTCCTGTGTGATGTTAACACCCAGGTATTAACACCTCTGTCCTGCTGATCCTGAGTGGGTGGTATGCCCTCTGCTGCTTCTTGCTGTAGTCCACAATCAGCTCTTTAGTCTTGCTGACGTTCAGGAGGAGGCCGTTGTCTCTGCACCAGTCCTCCAGGTGGGTGATCTTTATTAATTGAATTAATTGAATTTCCCTTCTGGGATGAATAAAGTATTTTTCATTTCATTTCATTTCATTCATTCATTCATTTCATTCATTTTATTTCATTTCATTAAATAGTCCTCCTCGCTGTTGTTGGAGATCAGACCCACCACTGCTGTGTCCGAGGTCCTGCAGTTTAGTGACCAGTCTGGAGGGGATTATGGTGTTGAACGCTGAACTGAAGTCCACGAACAGCATTCACACATAATTCCCCTTCCGAGTGTCCAAGTGGACCAGGGCTGTTTGTAGCAGGTGATTTATGGCATCGTCTGTGGATCGGTTTGGCCGGTATGCGAACTGTAGGGGGTTCAGAGAGGCAGGTAGGGAGGAGGTGATGAAATTTCTGACTTGACACTGAAGTGGTGCAACCCTATAAATGCTTAGGGTTGCATCTTGACAACAAACTGGACTGGTCAGGTTTTCTTCCTTAAGATCCTTTGTCACATGCAGGAAATGTTGCGTATGTTCTACCAGTCAGTGGTGGCCAGCGTTCTTTTCTATGCTGTGGTCTGTTGGGGCGGCAGCATGACTGAGAGGAGCACTAGGCCACTGGACATGCTGGTAGAAGGAAGCTGGTTCTGTGCTTGACAGGAGTGTGGACTCAGTGAGGACCTACGCACAGAACAATACAGTCCGTCCTAAACAACACCAGCCAGCCTCTTCACAACATCATGGCTGGACAGAGGAGCAACTTTACTGCGCTGTGGGACTGAACGCTTCAGGAGATCCATTGTCCCCACAGCCATGAGGCATCGCAACACCTCAGTCGAGGGCAGTGGCTAATGAAATGGTCTGTTGGCTGAAACACTCGATTGATTCAGCTGTGCACTCAAAGCAGTAATCCTGGGTCCAGTATATGCCTTTTATTATTACTTAGACTTTCATAAGCTCTTGTCTATTGTAGCTACAAGCAATATTGCACGTTATTTCATTGATCAGCACGATACATTAATTGCATGTTCTATCTATCTATCTATCTGTCTAGCTTTCAAATATCTCATATGACTACTACATTTTTGTCCTTGTGTCTTCTTACCATTTTCATTTTTTGGTTGTCTGTCACTCCCTCTATTCTAGTGTGCATGATGTTTCATGCTCTCCCGGTGTTTCCTATTTTCCAATCTCTGAGCTGAGTTTGTTTGTCAATTTATCACCTCCAAGAACTGATCTACATACAGTTCTATTGTCTTTCTGGGAATCTGACTGACTTCTGCCAATGGCTTGACCTTGCCTGGAGTTGCCAGTAAACTCATTGAAATTACCTCAACACCATTTAACTCTTGTCTCATAACATACAATTCACAGGAGAAATTATGATACCAATAAAATTGTTCTATATTCATGAATCCACATGGTGCAATCTGATAATGAAACTAATCCCAGAGGTTAAAAAAAAAAAAAGCAGAAGTGAACATTTCATATTTATTAACATGGTGTACGTCTATGTCTACTGTCAAGGTGCCAATTAAAACGTCTCTCTAAAGTTCCACCCTATCAAAAAAATACATATAGGCTTTGTGTTGGCATTCATAGTAATTGCTGTTTCTATATCATCAGAAAATAGACTTTCTACAGTACTTTGTTTAGTGGTGGTGATCCACCGCAGCAGACATAAAGGTACGGAATGGATACAGCAATTTTTACAAAATCTGTGCTTCTTATTCCATCGTATTTACTCGTGGGGTTCTGCATCAGATGTACAACAAAAAAAACATTTAGTCTCTCCAAATAACATGCTGTATATTTGGGTGCTGCATTTCTGTAATATTACTGAATCAGTGGAAATTAATGTAACTGCATAGCTGTATGCTGTATTATGCTCCTGTTACATGTTTTAATATGATAGAAAAAACATTTCAGTTCTCAGGATTTCAAATCTGTCCTGTTGTTGTTCACAAAAATAAAATAATACGAGCAGAAGAAGACTTGAATTCCAATTCCATTTACTGATAGTCCAGCTGCTTACACAAGATAGCAGAAAAGACTTTAGAGTCTTGGGAAACAAAAGAAAATATTGATCTGCTTTTAACCTGAAATTGCCTCTCATGACCACAGTTACATCGACTCACTCAGTGCTGTACAAAAAATAAATAAATAAATAAAAATAAAAGGAAAAAAGAGTGTATGCAGTATGAAGCACCATGGATGAGAAAAATGCAGTTGATGGACAGAACAGAAACTTGGAAATAATAATTGCTCCGTATACTAAAAACTATTAGGATACTATATAAAAGTTGAATTATTTTTCTCCTTCAGATCTTCTTCACAAACTAATGGTTATGCCTTTTGTGTAAGTAAGCAAGATGTTCAGCAAGGAAAGGCTGTTCAAGTACCACTTTATCACTTTATGCACCTCATAACTACATGGCATTGTCATTATATCATTATATTATAGAGGAAGAAAATATTCTCATAAGTATACTACTCCGTGTCAGTGAAAATGTACAAAATGTGCAGTGACGCAAAAAGAGCCAAGCACTGCAAACAGTCATATTTATCTTGGTGCAAACTGCTTCTATAACCATGACCATTTTGCAGCATATCAACAATTATCTGTTCCCTAATGTCGACACACATAGCAACTAATAGGCTACAGTGGCACTTGAAAGATGGTGAATCCTTTTCTATATATTTGCATAAATATGACTGAAAATATCTGTCACGCCTGCTGCTGCCAGGGCCAGATAGCGGCAGTCCTCGCTCTCTCTCCCTCCTCTCCTCCTTTCTCACTCTCCCTTTCCCTCTCTAATTAGGTGGGCGTGAGCTGGTGCAGTGACTGAGGAGGACGGGCAGGTGATTGCAATCTGCTGATGACGCAGGCGTGTGTTGGCTGCAGCTGTGCCTCATCCACAGACCAGCATTTAAGCCGCGCTCAATCCACAACTCGTCGCCGGACCAGAAACACTCCTCAGTCAGCCCTGACGCGATTGTTTATTCTCAGCTCCTTTTTGTCGGTCGCAAAACTAATCGTGTCTTTTTCCGTCTGCAGCCCGGATCATCTGCCACCATCACCAAACCACTCCGTCAGCCGGCGACTCCTGCCACAAGGAATCGGATTCTCCCTCACCTACCTGCCACCTGTCAGTTTTCTTCTGCTCGTCCGTTCCGACGCCACTCCTCAGCCACGTCTCCACCTGCCTCCCCATCGCGGAATCGGCGACGCCAACACTCTCCACCTCCCAGACTCCTCTTCCATACCCTCCTCCTTGCTTCCCCTCTCTCCTCGTTCAGCTCCAGTAGGGTCTGGTTCAGCTCAGTGATTTGTCAGCCAGTATCGTAAGTCCAGCAGCCTCATTAGAGCCGGTTACCCTGCTAGTTAATATGTACCACTAGCCTTGGAGTTAGCAGTTTGTCGGTCTGTCTGCATGTAGCGCTAGACCTGTTGATAGCATTTTGTTTGCCAGCTCGTTTCTTACGATTGAGCTTCTCGTTAGCACCTCCTGGTGTTCTTCCTTCGTTACTTCTCTTGTTTACATTGGTCTGAGTTTTTGTTTCATCTGCTTACGGTTCCTGATTCGGTGGTACCGAAATCGGGTACGTACCCCTTAGTTTCAGTCATTCAGCCTGACCACTAGTAGGCGTAGTTTGCTCTGCCAGCAACATTGTGAGTTTGTACTTTATGTGTGTGTATAAATAAACCATTTGTTTTATCAACCTGACTGTTTGCCGTGTTCTGTTGCCTCGCACTTGGGTCTCTGAACCAGTCCGTAACATCATCACAAGCCATTAAAGTAGCTAAACAGAACCCAATTAAACAAATAAAAAGACAACTATTATACATGGTCATTTATTCATTCGGAAAAATTCTAGAATATCTCATATTTGTGAGTGGAAAAGGTATGTGAACCTTTGGGACTAGCAGGTAGTTAAAAAGGTGAATTTAGAGTCCAGTATTGAATGGGATGACACTCAGGTGTGTGTGGGCAACTGTCCTCCACAACACATGTTTACTGCAATGTATCATGACACAAACAAGTAGAATTTCTGAGAACCTCAGAAGAAGAATTATTGATGCTCAACAGGCTGGAAAAGATTACAAAACCTTTTAAGAATTTGAGTTTCATCCATCAGACAGATTGTGGAGGAAATTCAAGGCAGCTGTAGTCTTCTACAGGAGTGGATGACCAACAAAGAAGCAAGGCCTGTAATAGTCTGTGAGGTCACAGAGAACCCAGTTTAGCTTCTCACGCTGTTTATAAGAACACTAAATATTGGGGTTATTCATCACAGAATGAATAGAGGATGGGACGGAGCTAGCAAGGGCTAGATAGGTCTCTCAGTGCTCCGGGTGGAATAATATCGTTTTTTCATTAATCTCGCCGTCTAATATACGATTGGCCAAGAAAAGTAGCGGAGCTTTAAACCTTGATCGTTTTGGTTGGTGTGTGGTGAAGGAAATTTAACTGGGTAAGCAGCAAAATGCCTGGTACGCACCAAACAAAGATCACCAAACAATTCGAATCAGCTGTGGAGCATGGGCCCAACACGGAGCCAGACTCGCCACCTGTGTGGGATAAGTTATCTGAAAAGATTCTGGAATCAATGAATAAGCGATTCGACCTCATAACAAGCTTGAAACTCTGATGAACACACAACTGGCGCTGACTGAAAGGCTGGTCGCTGCAGAGGAACAAGGTTCTGATCATGAACGGCGCATCCAGGCGCTAGAGCTGAGTTTGACAGCTACGAGGAAAACAAACGACAGGCTTTTAACAAAGATTGATGACTTGGAGGGACGTATGCGACGTAATAACATCAAGATATTGGGAATACCAGAGGGTGAGGAAAAGGGCCGACCCACAGAGTTTGTCGCTGGATTACTGCCAAAGTTGTTTGGGGCCAGCAACTTTACAAAGCCGGTGACAGTGGATCGCGCGCATCGCATTCCTGTGCCAAAACCCACGGATGGCAACAGACCACGGGGCATTATCGCCAGGATTCACTTTTATCAGGAGAAGGAATTAATCCTACGGCTGAGTCGGCAACAACAAGTGTGCTACAATGGCAACCGAGTCTACATATATCCGGATTACACCGCGGAGGTGATGGCACAGAGAAGAGGCTTTCGTGAGGTAACCCAGATGCTGAGAGAGCGGGAAGTTAAATATACCTTACGTTTTCCAGCTAAACTTCATGTCCAGCACAACGATCAGGTTAAAGTCTATACCTCACCTGATAGCGCTATGTCCTTCATAGAACAAGAGTTAAACAAGTAGGCCTTTTGTATGGGGATGTAGGCCTGTGAACTGTGACTTTTGAGGCTATTATTGGAAGATTATTTGCCTACTATCCCTCAGATGACCTGAATTCGTGTATGGACGGTGGGATTTAATTTTTCTTTTTTTTTATTCCACCATAGAGAAGCTGTGGGTTAAGTTTCTTTTGATTATTTTGAGAGAGACCTTTGGCGGCGGGTCATTGCCACGCGCTTCATTGTCTATGGGGTCTTTTCTTCTTGTGGGTGGTGGGGGGTGGGTATCTGTGTTGTGTGTGGGTGTGCGTGGGTGTGATGGAGTGTGGGGAGAGACGGTCTGTTTGGCTATTCAATCACGATTTTGTATTAATGTGTGTAATTTACGTATGAATTGTTTTCCATAATTTTGAAACTATGTCTTCAGTTCTAAATGATACAATTACTTTAGCCTCATGGAATGTGAGGGGCCTGGGGAATAATATAAAAGGTGGGAAGGTATTTTCTTATTTAAATTCATTGAAAGCAGATATTTTGTTTTTGCAAGAGACTCAAACTGTTAAAGATACAGAATATAAACTGAAGTCCGGCTGGGTCTCACAGGTCTACCATGCACCCTTTACAACTCGTGCAAGGGGGGTAGCAATTTTGTTTCGTAATAATATTCCTTTCATATTGAAATCCAAGTCTACAGATCCCAATGGGAGATTTATTTTAGTTTCTGGTCATATTAATTCATTTCCAATCACTTTGTTAAACATCTATGGCCCAAATTCAGATGATCCTGCTTTTTTTCGTAAGGTTTTTGATTTACTTCCAGAGGATGTTTACTCCAATATATATATTGGTGGCGATTTTAATTGTTATTTGAATCCATCCCTAGACAGATTATCATCTAAAGTTCCCCCAACTATTAATTCTGTTCAAACATTAAATAATCTCATCAAATCTAGAAATATGGTGGACATTTGGAGAATACAGCACCCTGACAAAAGGGAATATTCATTTTATTCCCACGTACATCAGTCATATACTCGAATCGATTACTTTCTTACTGAGGCCCGGTCATTTCCAAAGATTAGTAAAACAAACTATCACAGCTTATTAATTTCTAATCATTGTCCTGTTTCTTTGCAGCTTCAAGTATCCTTTTCTAAACCAAAATTTAAGTGGAGATTTAACCCTCTATTATTATCTTCACCAGGTTTTAAGGAGTACATGAACAAAAATCTTACAGAGTTTTTGAAGATAAATGACAACGGAGAGGTTTCAGATTCCACTTTATGGGAAGCGCTTAAAGCTACCATGAGAGGACATATCATTATGTTTGAAACTTCGAAGAAAAAAGCTGAATCTAAAAGAATGAAAGAAATAGAACAAGAAATTATTAATATAGAACAAATACATAAGACCTCTTTACAGCAGTCTGACTACAACAAGATCTTGAAGCTTAAGTCTGAATATAACTCCGCCCTTGGTAGGGTAATTGGTAGTCTTTTACTAAAGACCAGACAAAAGCATTTTGAACTGAATGATAAACCCCAAAAGTTACTCTCAAGACAACTTAAAGGGGATCAAGCTAAGACTGCTATTTATAAAATACAGTCCAAAGCTGGACAGATCCTTACAGATCATCAGGAAATTAACAATGTATTTAAAGACTTTTATTCCAATCTGTACGCCTCTACCTCTACAGCAACTAACACAGATTATGCACAATTTTTCAGTTCGCTATCTTTGCCACGATTAAATGACAGCAATCAGCGCTCTTTGGAAAGAATGCTTTCAGTGACGGAATTAGTTGAGGCAATCAAGGCTTTTCCAACAGGTAAATGTCCAGGACCAGATGGCTTTGGAGCTGAATTTTATTTGGCATTCTATGAGATTTTAACACCTCTGCTTCTCAGAATGTTCAATGAGTCGATGGTCAGCAAAACTCTTCCACCCTCTCTGTATGAGGCTAATGTATGTCTGCTATTAAAAAAAGGGAAAGATTCCACTGATCCCGCTAACTATAGGCCAATTTCTTTGCTCAACTTTGATCATAAAATTTTGACAAAAGTATTGGCCATTAGATTAAATAAACATATAGCAACAATCATTCATCCAGACCAAGCTGGTTTTATTCCAGGCAGGCTTTCCTTTTTTAATGTGCGTCGTTTATTGAATGTATTGTACTCTGAACGGGCTGATAACATCCAAGCTGCAGTCATGACATTGGATGCCCAAAAAGCTTTTGATTCCATTGAATGGCCATATCTATTTGAAACTCTGAGGAGGTTCGGCTTCGGTGAGATCTTTGTGGACTAGATTAAAATGATTTACCGTGCCCCTAAATCTTCGATTATATCAAACAACATTTCATCAGAACCGTTCAATTTACATCGTGGGGTGAGACAGGGTGACTGTCTGTCTCCTCTACTGTTCAACTTAGCATTAGAACCTTTGGCGATAGGGATAAGGAGTCATCCATGTATTAATGGGATTCCAGTGGGTTCATCAGAATGTCTTGTTACGTTGTATGCGGATGACCTACTTGTAACTATAATGAACCCTGAAACAGGTATTCCTCACCTCTTAAAATACATTGAATCGTTTAGCAAAATTTCTGGCTATACGATAAATTGGACTAAAAGTGAGCTTATGTTTATTGGACAGAATTCTGTTTTACAAAATTGTCCCGTCAAAGTCGTTCAAGATTACATTACATATTTAGGTCTTAAAGTCTCAAAGAATCCCAAATTACTGTTCAGATTAAATCTGTTGGAATGTACTGATAAATTGAAACGCAATATAGAATATTGGAGAACTTTGCCCCTTTCTATGATTGGCAGAGTAAATGCCATTAAGATGGTGTCCCTACCCAAGTTTTTGTATATTTTTCAAAATCTGCCAATATGTATTTCTGCTGGGTTTTTTTTTAAGAAGCTCGAGTCAATTATTTTAGAATTTATTTGGGGATATAAAAAACATAGACTATCAAAAAAGCATTTATTCAAGCCCACTTCGGAAGGTGGTTTAGGCTTTCCAATATTTAAAAATTATTATTGGGCTGCTAATGTCAGAGCATTGTCATATTGGCAATGGGGTTGTCCAGATGATAAATCATTGATTTCTGTCCCCTTGTGGTTAAAATTAGAGCTTATGTCCTTAAAGAAACCATATGCTTCACTGTCCTCTTTATTATTTACAAACCCTACAACTGCAATTAACTTAGTAAGTCATAGTCCTGTTGTTAGAGACTCACTGAAGATTCTTACTCAAATTAAACATACTTATAAAGTTCCTGGAATTTCGATATATACACCACTCTGCTACAATCATGCTTTCACTCCAGCTCTGCTGGATAATACGTTTTTTACATGGTATACAAAAGGGCTTAAATGCATAAAAGATTGCTATTTCAATAACAACTTTGCATCTTTTGGTCAATTAAGCTCAAAGTATAACTTACCTTATTCTAACTTT